GATCAAAGTAAGTCGAACTGATAAAAACTGACAAATATTTAATGAGTGTATTTTCTGAAAAGAGCTCGGAAATTTTGCGACTTTGTCGACACGACAAACAAAGTTTTGTGCAATTTTTTATCTTACATTGGTATGCCAACTCGCGTTATTGAGAACTAATTTTAGAGATAGGCGCCTGAGTAGACGAGATAAAAGCGTGGAACGGAGGAGACGTTAATTTATTACAGAATTGTAGATTCTATTTTACCTTTCTGACCCTCTGCATTTAATTGCACCTTTCATTTGCCTTTGCTGTACTTATGAGTAACAAGTCTCTGAAGTTAAGAGTTGAAGAAAAGTTGTAAATATCATCAGTGTGATTTTTTTTCTTAACATGAAATCTCGATCCCTCAAAAGCATCTTTAAATTTATTTTTGATGATTCTGTTGTTTAGTATTAATAAGAATCAGTGGTTTTACTTGACATGTTTTCGATAATTTTCTTTTCCGCTAAAGAGTGTCGAAAATGGTTCTCATGCATCGTTTAATTAAAATGTCTGATTATTGCGAATATGAATTTACATCTTGTAATTGCTATTGTTGTCAATATTGTTGTAGCTTGAATACGGTTTATTTTGCTTAATTTTGCTTCAGTGGTGTAATATATGTGTCATCACGAATTAATATTTATTATTTTTTCATTGTTGTACTTTTTCCATTTCGTTCTTTTCAATAATTAGTATGGTAAGAACAGTGTAAGTATTGAAGAAGCTGGTATTTGGAAACTGTAATATTTGTTAATGTTGGTCTTGCATTATCATTCGTTATTGAAAAAATAGAGCAAAGGTAATAATCAGGGGAAGAGAGTGAACTTTTTACTATTTTTTGTGTATATGATGTCGTTTCCCTCTGATTGAAACTTTCTGCTACAATTTCACTGATTTTGTTATATTGTTGTATTTATAAATCAATGTTGTCCTTGGATTGAACTGAGCGACAGCAGCTATCGTTGGAAGTGGGTCACAGCTTTTGTTGATTGCGGGCGAGTATGGTGTAACCTCATTTCGTCGTTTATAGAGATATGGTTAGAACTATCTCTTGTTGACGACGTTTTGCATGTTTGGGAAATCACTGGTCCTAACGATTGTTAGTGATTCAGTTGAACAGAAAATACTGCTTAGTCATTTAGCGCATTTGATGTCCCTATTTATTGAGAAATATTTTTGCGTGATTGAGATCAAGTACGGTCAAACAACCAGTTGTTTTGTCATGAAATTTTTGATTTGGTGGAGTTATATGTTTGCTCTTTCTGTTTCTTTTTCTGTCGTTGGGATGTGAGGATTTTGTCAAATTATTTCTGTAGATATTTCAATATCAAAATTTAATGTAAGGAGCATGGATTTCCGGACGTGGTTTATGGCTTTTTGCTGGCAGTGAATTTGAATTCGATAGCAAGAAAGTTGGATTGGATATAAAAGGTAAAGTGTAGAGGAGGACTAATTTTCCTGTTGTACGTGACTGGTACCTGCTTAATCAGTAGTCATTATTTTTACTCTTATAACCATCTAAGTGTTTTTTACATATTATTATTGTAATCAAACGTTCGCTCAGTGATGGAGAAATGGCCAACTAACGTTGGTGATTTGTTGTAGAATGTTATTTCTCTTGTTTTTTGATTATGTAATAAAACTGCAATGTATGTAAATGCTCATTGGTATTCATCGTGCAGAAAAAAGTTGTATATCACAAGTCCGAGAGCACCTATATAACCTGTTTCCTTGATAAAATTATGGAGGTGTAGCAAAGTAAAGATTTTTGTCGTCTGAACAAGTAATTATAATTAAGAATTATTGCATACTTTAATTGCTGCTTGTGTACTTCTGTATCGCGTTAGCCAATATTTGTCATCAGCGGATTTTTTTATTCTAATTATTCATATCTATCTCGTTGGCTTATGAGTTCAATTTTATATTCGCTTACCAAACATATCAGTTGTAGGTTTAGCAGCAATAAAGGAGTCTAAAATGTTTATCGAGAATGTGCGTATTTACTTATCTATTTGTAGTGGGTTTACATTACAACATGAGTCATTGTATTTTATCCTCTTGGTCCAATATATCACACTATTTTCTGCTAAATTATGTTTGAAAGTGCAGTAGTGAGCGCAGATTTAAGTAATTTTAAATTTAAGTTTCACTCATAATTTGATTTTCGGATTCCCTTTTTATTCGAAATTATGCATGCCAAAGATTGTAGAAAGCAATGTCAGATGATGCAAATAAAGCAGAAGAAATAAATGTAGCAAAGCTAGTTTCGGATGTTTCAAATACTTTATCTGGATTTAAGAATCTCTTTATTCCTACAGCCAGAGCTTCTGCAATAGAAGCAGCAGCGACAGCAACACATTATGATACCCCGGCTTCTAATATTTTTACTGGTAATGTCTGCTTTAAAGCTTGTGGAATGGAAGATATTCAAGCAGCTGCCCAGGTTATCTTATGACTTTACATTTTATTGTTATTGTTGCATAATTTTTGAAAAATGAAAAAAAAGTGTTTTGTGAAACAATCACATCACTAATAATATACTATTGCAATGCATTTAATTGCACTGCTGTATCTAAATTCAAAACTTAATAATTTTTTTAGAATTGTAAAAAAATTTTAAATAAACAATGTACAGCAATCAGTTGCTACTAGTTATTTGTACATTTTTTTATTAAAATAAACTATAGTTGATAAAATTATGAAAACTTCAGAAGGCAAGTGAACTATTCGTAACCTTGCGGTACTGTATTATTACCATAACACTAATCGCCATATTTGGCATTATTTTACTCTCATTAGCAATTGGTTGGTATCTAATGAAATCAAAGGTAACAACTACTAGTCTGGAAACAGATTCATCAGCTCAACATAAATTTGGTGCAACTTCCATCCTCAATAATTACCGCCATCACAAAATTCCATCACTAGTTGTGAATGCAAAAAATATTAACAAATAAGCATTTCCGGCATAATTAGTGTTGTTTTTGATGAGTTTAAGTAAGAGTATACATCCGACAAAGTCGTTCTAGTAGGATTTCTTATCATTTGTAGGATAAGACGTCATGCACATGCATCATTGCTCAATTTTGTGTTATTTTGTATCATAATTGACTGTTTCTGATATGGTGAGGACAGTAGATAAACTATTGTATTTTGGACAAACTTTTTAGCATTTTTAATTACGACTGAAGTTGTCTGAAATTAGAAACAAATTTACTGGTATTTTTCTTTGAAGACGGATCTGTTATATATCCCAACATGGCACATATTTTTTTCATTTAAATTTTGAAAAGAAATGCAAAAAACTACTTCAGATCTGGATGTGATTTATTTTGTGATTGTAAACCGGTATTTGTTTGCAATAGTTTTTGATAAACTGATTTGTACAAATATATGCAGCAAGTAAAAGTATTGAACGTTTTATTCTATAATTCTTTTTTGAAAACGAGATAGCTAGTAAAATGAATTTTTGGTGTAAATCTACAACACATGCAGAGCTTACTTCCACTTGAGGCAAAGAAATACGAAAAAAACAATTCCTTGATCAGAACATTGAGCTTAGAATGATTCAATAAAATCATAACTCTTCGAATATAAACGAAATTATCGGCTGACTTTTGGAAAACTTTTTAAAATTTGAAATGCCATATCATTACAAATTTACACAAGGAGACAAGAAATACGCATAAATAAGCTTACTTGTGGGAATGAAGCGGCGAGAAATGCGCGTGCGCCTGTTTCAGTTGCAAGCTATTGAGATATTTACTCTCCTTGAAGAAATTATATTGTTAATAATTATCACAGACTAATAAAAAGGTCAAAGTAGAGATTAGCTTGCAAAACAAACCTTCTTAAATTGCTTGGTACTATTGGTCTGTCAGGTGAAGAAGAGTAGAAGCATGCAGGAGAGTACATACTCTTTTTCGCTCAATGCAATTGTTTTTTATTAGTCCATGATAATTATTAGAGTTATTAACAATTAATCCATCTAATAACAAATTTTTAAGCTTAAATCTGAGTGTTTTTTACAACATTTTTAAAATCAGTGTTTTCGAATTAAAATAGTAAAAATATTCGCAAAAATTTGTGTTTGTCATGAGATAGCTAAAACTTAGTCAAAACCACTGCTTGTTTAAGATATTTCATTAAATTCAAATTCACAATTGAATGATGCATTTCACGCAATGTTTAATTATGTATCACGCATCAAAACTACCTTCGTTCAAGAGATTGTTGCATGAGAATGTGGAGAGGAGATAAGAGTCGTTACGTGATAGGAACAAAGAATAAAATAGATGCGAACTGATCGGTGCACGATGAGAAGTGACATAAAGGTGTTGTAACAGAGAATGGCAACACTAGTTAGGACATGCTGACGGAAAACAGAAAGTATGATCAATAGGTAATAAACTCGGGACGAAGATGAAACGCGAAACGAAAGTAATCCCGTACGTCATATGCTATTAATGAGCTTCTCATATGAACGATGCGTGAAGGAAATTAGTATATCTGATCACATCAAGGCATCTATTAAACTGATCGTGGTCAAGATGTTCGAAAGCATTTCATTCGATTTAACAAGTGGATTCGACGAGTAAGAAATAACGGACATCAGTACAGAATTGAGTCCGAATCGAGTGCAGCGAGAATGCTAGAATACGATTCAGCGCCAGAATCAGTTATGCAAAAAAGATGATGGACCTCCATATGATATTGATATGGTCTTTGACTGCTTATCTTCATTAACTTTGCTGCCAGTACTTTTACCACCGACAGTAGTACCGCTTACTGCTACCAACCACTAGTGTTTACTGTCATTACCATTGTTTATTGCCTGAACAAGTTATAATAGTACTAACTGCTAACACAGATACTTACCAACATTACAAACTACTACTGTTTCTACTACTACTACTACTATCTACTACCATCAACATTACCAACTACCGCTACTTACTACTATTACTATTACTACCACTGAGTATTTACACATCTGCTTAGTATAACTCACTAACAATCCCTATTACTTCCTGATAGTAACTTACTACTAATCAACCTTACTACTAACCACTACTGACACTGCTTAATACTACTACTAACTACTACTATTTATTATATATGGATTAGTCCCACTGCCACTACTACTATTACTACTACTATCACTAATAATTATACTACTCCCACCACCGACTACTTCCTCTTCTCACTATCGCTGTTGAGTAATTCAATACTAATCTCATTCAGTACACTACGACACAAGAAAATACGTGGATGAAACGCTGAGATTATGAGTGTTTACTGGCATATATTTCTTCTGTATATTTTGTTGGCCACAAAATAATCAAGCATGGAGTTGACAAACAATCGAAATGCGAGAGTATTCATTTTCTGGAAGCATCGAAATGCGAGAGTATTCATTTTCTGCAAGCATCGAAATGCGAGAGTATTCATTTTCTGGAAGCAGAACCATGAGCACCACATCAATAAACAAAAATTTACGTTTTCAATACTTTGAGCACGCAACAATACTCTGATAATATAGAGATCAATACTGACAAAATTCAGCAATTAGATGTAGTATTTGAGCAAAATCGATTATTAATAATTTTTGAGAACATCTTTTTTAAACACTCCCGTGTTGTAAAAAAGCTTTCAAACAATGCGTTTCTATAAGAAAAAGTAAGTTTAATTCTAAAAAGCATAACCCCACACATATGCAACTTCAACGTCATCAGACTGTAGAGTAGTAAGTGCATACAGTACAATAATTAATTAAGAATTCCACGCGAGTAAACGCTTATGCATTTTTATTGCGAATGCGAGGAAATCAGTCAGTCGAAATGCTTGCCACTGCGGCAGCAACCGCATAGAAGGAGAAGAATGACAGCGATTATTAAAAATTTTTGAGAACATCGCGGGTTTCAAGTCAATGTTAGAGCAACTAAACTTCAGTGCTTTTCTTCCACTCTGAATAAATCGGTTGAGATCATCTCTTAAGTTCTCCATATTCCTACTACAAACATTATCGCTGCTAACGAGAAGCCAGGTATATGATCCTCGCTTCTCGTTAGCAACAATAAAAATGCGTTTGGTTGTTTACTTAATATTTCAGTTTGAAAATTATAACGTTTTTTTTGTCACGTTATTTGCATAAATCAGCTAAAATCTTTGGTCTCTTGTGCATTTTCGGATCAAAATTCAATTGAAATAGATGTAATATAAAATGACAAGTTAAATAAATAAATTATCATTTCATATTTTTGTGTCAATTCTGTCTAGTTCTTAGATTTCATGTCGGCAATAAGCGTAGCTTCAGAATCTTTCATCTGACTTTAGCATCATTTAATTGTTAGATTTATTACTCAAATGAGATAAATGCTCGTAGAAATGTTATAAATATTTTCCATGCAGAACGCATCTGCAGAAATAAATAAATTCAATCAAAACCTCCCATCAATCCCAGTAACTTTCTGAAAGTATATTGTTTGTAAATGCAACTTTTGTCTTCTTTATATGTCTTCGAATCCTGCAATAATGCCATCAAAAGTGATCACAGTTTCAGTTTCAGCTTTAATAATAATCCGAAAACAAATCATTTTACTTGTCACTCAGTAGTAACTCAGAATTATTTGAGGTATTTTAACATTCTAAATAAAACGGGAAACAGATGGAGAGTTACATCATTGCGAATCAGGATTTGTTCTGCCAAAAGAGAATTTTTATTTTCAGAGGAATTTGAAGTATGGATGGAATGAGTTAATAGTTGTTTGCAAATGTAATATTATGCTTTCAGATACAACAAAATATGTATCGTCGCATCTTCATTGTTGCTTTCGCTTCTTGCCTTTTACTTAAACTGAAATTCGCAGAGTCCACAGTAAGTATATACGCCATCAAATTTTTAAGTTGCCATCTTATTTAACTTTGGGGAAATACTCATTTTAATTGATTATTACAGAAGAATGAAACGGATGAAAATAAATTGCAAAAAGCAATCAGGATCGAAAATGACGTACAATCTACTCATTCCACTAATTCATCACATACCGACAAGAACAATCTCAGGTTAGGTGGAAATTCAACAAGTATGGACAACATTCAGGCGACCAGCGTTTCTACAAAATCTCAGTGTAATGCTTCCCAGAAGAAACCGAGTAAGTTGAATTCCAAGTGCAAAGTAAGGGCGCATCCTGGAGAAAAGTTCCGGTGTGAAACTTGCTTGAAGAATTTCACGAGCAAGAGTACTTTAACTCGGCACTTCCGCACACATACCGGTGAGAGGCCTTATATATGCGATGCATGTGGGAAAGGA